ACGCCTATAAGTCTGCAACAAGGTACTGAGCCTCTAGTCAAAAATAAATTGCTAGCGAATGAATACACACTTCCTGAATCCGTATGCCAGTAAAACAAGCCGGTGTGGCACTTAGCAACAGTTAATGCACTGTGCCACGAATTAAAACGGAGCACTGAAACGCATAAAAGAACACACACACACACACACACACACACACACACACACACACACACACACACACACACAAAGGAAGAGACTTCACAGAGCTGCACAATTAACACTTGCATGAGTTTGGGGTCTTTGTTTACACGAGTTGAGACTGTTTGTCCCTTGGCGCGTACCTGAAACACTCCGTTTCTCTTCAAGCACGGCGGCGACTTCGAGCATGACAGACTCACCGGGATTTGAGAATCGCGGGAAAATTACTCTTAAGGCCGGCCGGAGGAGGTGCGACTTGGGTGCTGTGAACGTGTCACCCGCCGTGGCTTAATTTGTGTGTTTGGCCTTACTGAATTTATAGCGAGGCGACCTGGGTCATGTCTTGTCGCTTCGTGTTAGGGAGATGCATGTCGACTCGTTTCGAATAATTTCGTGTCGTGTTAAGAGCATACTGGTGACCTATATTGCTGCATAGGGGAGGTGTCACGTCATATTGGGTCACTGTAACATGGTGTGGTGTCAGAATGTGTGTCAGATACTGCTATATAGCGAGGTGTTAAGCCATATGATGAGGTTCATGGTGCTATCGCAGTTACAGCCCCGCTCCTGTGCCAGGTAAGTCCACAAGGGGCTCACTAGCCCGTGCTACTTTGGAACTTATAGTTCCGAGTACCTGAATCAAAAAACAACAACAACGGTGCTATCGTGTGATAGCTGCCAATATGTCATATCAGTACGTGCGGAAGAGTCCGGGGGGATAGAGGGAGATCTCTGTGGTTCCGTAAGTCTGAGTGCTTGTCCGACATCACTCACTGACTTCCCACAGCATGTGGGGGGCACATGGGGGTTGTGGTGACCCCTCAAGACTTTAACGCCACGGTGTCCACTCCACACAGGTGCCACGTCACACAGGAAAGGTGCCACCTCTCGGGCGTCAAACACCACCACAAGAATATCCCCGCGAACACCAGGAACGACCCAATGATAAAAGATTTCTTTTCCCGGCTGTAAAAGTTGGAGTCGCCTCATCAGCGCATATTCCGGAGCGCGGACCGGCCAACCTTGCTTTACAGGTCTGCAGGGAGCTGTATAGCCTGGCTTCCTCAGCCCTATCTTCCTCCTCCTTGCTAACCACCTTCGTCCCACACTACTGAAGGAAGATAAACAGTTCAAGGAAGGCACTAAGATAAAGAGAAGAGTGAGAGGCTCATGGCGGAACTGACGTCACTGAAGAGGAACTCAAAATGGCAGTGCTTGGAGAGCAAAAACAACGGAGTGAGCCGATGGCTGAAAAGCATAGAAAAGGCGAGAAAAATATGAGGTTGAGAGGGGGTAGGGAAGACGGGGGGGGGGGGGTTTCAAGGAAGTCAGGGGAGGAAACGGGGCCCATGGGAGGGAAAGGTCTGACCCGGAAATATAAAGACTGACAATTATTACCGTCACACAAACTGGGTATCTGGAGGAAAGGGAAAGAGGGAGTGGAGAGATATCGGCTTTGTGGGAAGGGGACGGACCCCCGAGAAAGGCCACAGTAAATATCTAACTCATTTCTACCCCATAATATATTACCACTGCTGTGGGTGCTGGACCTGAGGGAGGAGGGAGCCGGAGGGAGCCGGAGGGAGCCGGAGGGAATCTGGAATACTGGCGAGTACGAGAACCACCAAAGCTGCGAGAAACGACATAAAGGGAATACCGACGTTCCCACAAGTCGCTCTGAATAGGTTTACGGCAGCGAGGGAAAATATATCCCCCCGTGCTCACCAGGGATTACACCACCGCAACACGCTCTCATAGTACGGCTCCAGCACGCACCACGCCCGCCCACCCGTGCACGCCCAGGCAAGCACAGCTACAGGGCACGCCCAGGCAAGCACAGTTATAGGGCACGGTCAGGCAAGCACAGCTACAGGGCACGGTCAGGCAGGCACAGCTACAGGACACAGCGAGGCAAGCACAGCTACAGGGCACGCCCAGGCAAGCACAGCTACAGGGCACGCCCAGGCAAGCACAGCTACAGGGCACGCCCAGGCAAGCACAGCTACAGAGCACGCCCAAGCAAGCACAGCTACAGGGTACGGTCAGGCAAGCACAGCTACAGGGCACGGTCAGGCAGGCACAGCTACAGGACACAGCGAGGCAAGCACAGCTACAGGGTACGGTCAGGCAGGTACAGCGACTGGGCACGCCCAGGAAGACATTACTATGCACAACGGTCAAAAACGCTCGTTTGAAAGGACCGAACAAAACGTATATTGGTAAACGTCACGAAAAAAAACAGGCTCGACTAGACAGTAACAGGCACGGATATGTAGGGACAGTTAAATACGACAGTCGAACGAACACTGTTAGAAAGTCATTTGCAAATATCGACGACATGAAGAACCAGGAGCCAGATTCACGAAGCAGTTACGCAAACACCTACGAACCTGTACATGAACAAATGCACAAGGGCCGTGACGAGGATTCGAATCTGCGTCTGAGAGCATCCCAGACGCTGCCTTAATCGACTGAGCTACGTATTTGTTCATTTGATGCATCATGCAATTGTGATTTCTGTGTGTAACCTGTACCTCTTTTCTCAATCTTTGGCGGCTTTGTTTACAATTATTAAACATTTAATGAACCCTGAAGCACCAGGAGGCTGTTTATAACAATAACAACAGTTGGTTGGGAAGTTTTCATGCTTATAAACTGTTTAATAGATGTAAACAAAGCCGTCAAAGATTGAGGAAAGATGTACACGTTCGTAAGTACTTGCGTAACTGCTTCGTGAATCTGGCCACAGATCGTTTGAGCTGTTTACATCAGACCAGACGAACAGGAGAGAGGGCTTTCCCGACCTCGTTAAATGAACCACTGACCTTATTTTAAGGGGTAGTAAGGAAGACGGAGAGACCCATGTGAAGGGAAGCATTTTTAAATAGTAAAGTAATTATCAAAAGAAGGCACCAAGCCGGGATAGACATATGCACATTGTGTATGTGGGACCTTAGATAAGCTTAGTCTCTCTTGCCAGAGAGCTGCGAGTGTGTATGTATGGTTATCTTGAGGTTATCTTGAGATGATTTCGGGGCTTTAGTGTCCCCGCGGCCCGGTCCTCGACCAGGCCTCCACCCCCAGGAAGTAGCCCGTGACAGCTGACTAACTCCCAGGTTCCTCACATATATTACACCATACACTAAAAAATGAGTGTGCCATTTCACCACCCAGCTCACTAATTTACGTGTCCTCGCAGACGTTGAACACGGGAAGCTCTGCCGATGAGACATTTACCCATGGCTCCATCACGCTGAACCCCATGAACTCCACCTGATGCTTAGTGATGAGTTCACTCATCTTCCCACACCACCATTCCACTACCTGGTGATGAGTCCGTTCATCTCTCCCTCCCTCCAATTGCCTGGTGAAAACCCGTCCCATATCTATCCTCCCTTCCCAGCCGCTATGCCTATTACTATTAATAAATCGTCTCCCATCGAATCCAGCATCACTCATTATGCAGAACAGCTAAACACTTTCACTATCTCTTATCTCTCTCCATCACTTTGTGTTGATATCAGTCCCGCTTAGTTTCACTTTCTTCCTTTTGAGACATTGAACTTACCTTTACGCCCTCGACTGTACCTTTAATTCAAGAAGTTCTCCGAGACTCGCTGTGTGAGACATGATCACGAGCTACTAAGTAGAGCAGCAGCTCATGCGGGAGTGGGTATTGAGGTGTTTCCTCGCGATGATCATCACTGCTTAGGAACGTTATCTTGAGGTTATCTTGAGATGATTTCGAGGCTTTAGTGTCCCCGCGGCCCCGGTCCTCAACCAGGCCTCCACCCCCAGGAAGCAGCCCGTGACAGCTGACTAACACCCAGGTACCTATTTACTGCTAGGTAACCCCTGGGACTGTTGAAGTTTATCTCTAGAAATTAGGTCAGAAGTGTGCAGCAGAGGGGGTTGAGCTCTGGGTCTTTGGTCCCGCCTCTCATTCCGTCAATCAACTAATGTACAGGTTCCTGAGCCTACTGGGCTCTATCATATCTACACTTGAAACTGTGTATGGAGTCAGCCTCCACCACATCACTGCCTAATGCATTCCATCTGTTAACTACTCTGACACTGAAAAAGTTCTTTCTAACGTCCCTGTGGCTCATTTGGGCACTTAGTTGTGTGTGTGTCTGAGAGTACGTGTATGTAGGCACTATCCTAATTTCCCGGCCATTCACTACTCACTTTATACTTCTCACAGAACTAAAGCCGCCAAGTGATTTTCCCCATCTAGAAGCGTAAACGCACAAGGCGATAGTTTCCTGCCGGGAAACAGTTCAACTCCTACAGCGTGCAAATCATGACTCCCAAATCATGACTGTTCACTCAAACTGTGTGAGAGAAATAGTGCACGATGCACCGCGTCAGTTTATACCCATAACGACAGCAATAAGGCCTGGTGCAGCACTCATCTAATGACTATACTAGCAGCCCCAGAAATGGAGGGTGACATGATCCAGATATATAAAATATACAATGGTGTCCTCATGTCCACTAGAAGACCAACTAGCTTGGAACACGCTCAATACAAATAAAATACTTAAAGTCTAATTCCAAGATACCCTTGGGAGGTGCAAGGGAATAGACAAAAGGGAAGGGAACTATCATAGAGAAAGTGCCAAGCCATTAGGCTATATAGCACTTGGAAAGAGTCAGGATAAGGATTTGGGATGGGACGAGGAGGGGAGAATGGTGACCAACCCCTTGAACGGTCGGGGGATTGAACGTCGACCTGCATGACGCTCTACCGTCGCTCTACCGTCCACCCCCCCAAGTGGTCTTTAGGTGTTCGGGAGAAGGAGGTGAAAATCACTTACACTCTGTCGAGGAGGTTGCTGAAGCCGTGAGCGACCAGCATGCAGAAGCCCATGGAGGGCATGTAGAGCACTCGCTCCGCCACCACGAACCCCACGGGGAAGAAGAGGTTGGTCGCCGGCAGGAAAGGGAGCACCAGGAACGCCAGCGCCTGAGGAAGCAACATTGTTACAGGTGAGGATAATGTTACTTAATGAGGGAGAGAGGGAGGGTGTTACGGAACCTCACTCGACTGGAACATCATATATATGTTCGTTTTTTGGGGGAATCATACTTAAAAGGATGAGGATTCATCAAACAATAAAGTGATCACTTCTGAAAGCTGTACATCTTTCCTCAATCATGGGGATTTGTGTGTATATATTGGGCCGGATACCTGATATCCAGCTGAGTCTGTCCGGCCTCCAATACCCGTCTTGCCAGACGCCAATTTCATATAGAAAGGTAGGTGTGTGTGTGTGTGTGTGTGTGTGTGTGTGTGTGTGTGTGTGTGTGTGTGTGTGTGTGTGTGTGTGTGTCACTTAGCCAGTAACGGTACGCACAAAACTCTACGGGAGCATCCAGCCATGTTCCATTAGTCCTGCAGTAAGGTATTTGGGAGGATTTGACCAGAGAAGCTTGTACTTGCTCAGGTGAAAACGTGTTGAACCCGACTACAGAGTAAATTGAAGCGGGATAAAGATAGGATTACATAGACAGCTGCTTACGTGCGGATTACTGAATAACAATGGAGGGGCGGAAGGGGTGGGGGGTCGGGGGATTACAAGGTATTAAACTAAGTGAATGAATAAAAGAGGATTAATCGGGATGAAAGTGAGAATCACAAGAGTAAATTAGAGAGGATTCATAAAAGTGTGTTACATAGAGGATGATGCTTGATAGAGAGGGGGGAAGCAAGAGAACAGGAAGAGGAGGATTTTGAGTAAGAGAAATAAGAATAAAGTAGAAGATAAGGAAGAGGCGGTATCAGCAGGAAGCGAAAATACAAAAAGTGGTTAAAACGGAGGAACAGAGCAGTGGTAGAGGTAGGAAGAGTTGACAAGAATGGGTTAGAGAAGATTGGGGGGAAGGAATGGTGGACTTACCATGACTTACCATGAATGGTGGACTTACCATGATCACTATCTGTGCATGGTGACGGTGGGCGACGAACAGGGCGTGGTACGAAAGCTTGCTCACCGCCGCCAACACCACCAACGTCCCCAAGTTTCTGACAAGAACGAAAATAACAACAAATCAACCAATCGTTTTCAAGAGAAAACAATTTGTCTTCAAAAAGTGCCGGACCAACCGGGCTGTAGTGGATACGTGGGCCTGCGGGGCCGCTCCGAGCACACTTGGAGAGGGTTCTGAAAGTTCTTCTACTCCCCAAGCCCAGCCTGAGGCCAGGCTCGACGTGTGATAGCTTGGTCAAACAGGCTGTTGCTTGGAGTGGCCCGCAGGCTCACATCCTATTGAGCCAAGCCTGAGTCCCACAGTTCAAGCCTGGGCCCAAGGCTCATGGGAATAGAAGAACTCCCAGAACCCCATCCAGGTACAATCCAGGTGCAAGGTTGCATTGGTAACTCGTTCAGAGTTGTTATTGCACCCGTATTGTTGCAATGTAGCTGATAAGAAAAAAATTAATTACAAACCTAGCCACTAATTCCTAACACAAGTTTGATATATTCTTAACACAATCGAAAATTATTAAGGCATTTATATCACACGAACAATAACACAAAGATAGTCACTTGTGTATACATGTCATACTAAGATACATATTCATCCGAGTATACATGTGATACTGAGACACATTCACCTGTGTATAAATGTTACACTAATATATATATATATATATATATATATATATATATATATATATATATATATATATATATATATATATATATATATATATATATGTCGTACCTAGTAGCCAGAACTCACTTCTGAGCCTACTATGCAAGGCCCGATTTGCCCAATAAGCCAAGTTTTCATGAATTAATTGCTTTTCGACAACCTAACCTAACTAACCTAACCTAACCTAACTTTTTCGGCTATCTAACCTAACCTAACCTATAAAGATAGGTTAGGTTAGGTTAGGTAGGGTTGGTTAGGTTCAGTCATATATCTACGTTAATTTTAACTTCAATAAAAAAAAATTGACCTCTTACATAATGAAATGGGTTGCTTTATCATTTCATAAGAAAAAAATTGGAGAAAATATATTAATTCATGAAAACTTGGCTTATTAGGCAAATCGGGCCTTGCATTGTAGGCTGAAAAGTGAGTTCTGGCTACTAGGTACGACATATATATATATATATATATATATATGTCGTACCTAGTAGCCAGAACTCACTTCTCAGCCTACTATTCAAGGCCCGATTTGCCTAATAAGCCAAGTTTTCCTGAATTAATATATTTTCTCTAATTTTTTTCTTATGAAAGGATAAAGCTACCCATTTCATTATGTATGAGGTCAATGTTTTTTTATTGGAGTTAAAATTAACGTAGATATATGACCGAACCTAACCAACCCTACCTAACCTAACCTAACCTATCTTTATAGGTTAGGTTTGGTTAGGTAGCCGAAAAAGTTAGGTTAGGTCAGGTTAGGTAGGTTAGGTAGTCGAAAAACAAATAATTCACGAAAACTTGGCTTATTAGGCAAATTTGGCCTTCCATAGTAGGCTGAGAAGTGCGTTCTGGCTACTAGGTACGACATATATATATATATATATATATATATATATATATATATATATATATATATATATATATATATATAGTCGCCAAGATACACAAGTGTCACTATGATAAAAATTCACCGGAGAATACACATTACACTATGTATACAGCATACAACATACACCTGGATATACATCCCACACAATACTTTATGTATACCATATCACAAGCCCACAATGATAAAAATGTATAAACAGAATTCAGTTTCGATCTCTTTTTATTTTGTACTTTGCAATAAAAATATTGTGAATTACAATGAGACGTTTAGTCGAATGTTTATTTTCTTTAAATCGGATTGTTAGCAAGTATAAAAATTGAGGTCACCTTTATGGTTTTATTTAATATTTTTTTCGGGATTTCACTCAATGACTTGTCATGTAAACGAGTCAGATTTTATGATGCGTATTGTAAGTTCACACAAGCCTCGTCTATTTTTCACTAATGACCTTATAGACTAACTGCGCAATTAGATGTTTTATGTTGGGATGCATAAAATTTCTTTATGCTGGTTCCCGGATACTTTTTTTCTCTCTCTCTGACAAAGACATTTTTGTAAAGTGTTTATTTGTTCTCATTTAAAAAAATATTATCATCACTTAGCCAATTTTTTTGAATGTTAAAATTTATTTAATAATAAAAAAATTCATATTGGCACATGGTAAATATATTAAAAAGTTAAGCAGTTCTTGACAAGCAATTTATTTTGCTTGTAAAATCATTAGCAAAATATCTCTTTCAGAATATTTAAAAACGCGAGTGCTTGTGTACTTGGATTTCTTGTCCCTCCCTTCTGATTATCCTTGTCCTTCGTCTCTCTTCTTCTTCTCTTCATGCAGGTCGGCGTTCAATCCCCGACCGTGCAAGTGGTCGGGCACCATTCCTTCCGTCCGTCCCATCCCAAACCTGTCTTCTTCCCAGTGCTATATAGTCGTAATGGCTTGGCGCTTTCTCCGCATAATTCCCTTCCCTTCTCTCTTTCTCTCTCTCCCTCCCTCCCTCCATCTCCCTCAACTCCTTCATTCCCCCTCCTCACTCTCTTATTCTCTCCCTTTTTCTCTCACTCTTTCCCTCTCTGTCTCCCTCTCTCTCTCTTTCTCTCCCTCTCTATCTCTCTTCCCCTTGAGAAGTTCATCCTTTCTTGGGCTCGTTAACCGCTCGCATAAGTCTTTTCTGGGCCATTTTATCCATCATAATCCCTTAAAAATACATTCTTTATTCGGTTTCAAATAATTCCCACAGCTTCTGGTCATCTTCCATATTATATATATATATATATATATATATATATATATATATATATATTATATATATATATATATATATATATATATATATATATATATATATATATATATATATATATATATATATATATAATATTCGTCGTTTTCGCTTTCAAATATAATTTTGCGAATTGAAAAATTATACATTTGGAGGAAAATTCTGGCCCGATATGTTATTTATTTTTATATTTTACATGAAATATTTGTTTACAAGTGACGCATTTCGTCCATTCCACCAATCACCCGGCCACTGGTCAACTCCACCATCACCCGGCCACTGGTCAACTCCACCAATCACCCGGCCACTGGTCAACTCCACCAATCACCCGGCCACTGGTCAACTCCACCAATCACCCGGCCACTGGTCAACTCCACCAATCACCCGGCCACTGGTCAACTCCACCAATCACCCGGCCACTGGTCAACTCCACCAATCACCCGGCCACTGGTCAACTCCACCAATCACCCGGCCACTGGTCAACTCCACCAATCACCCGGCCACTGGTCAACTCCACCAATCACCCGGCCACTGGTCAACTCCACCAATCACCCGGCCACTGGTCAACTCCACCAATCACCCGGCCACTGGTCAACTCCACCAATCACCCGGCCACTGGTCAACTCTACCAATCACCCGGCCACTGGTCAACTCTACCAATCACCCGGCCACTGGTCAACTCCACCAATCACCCGGCCACTGGTCAACTCTACCAATCACCCGGCCACTGGTCAACTCTACCAATCACCCGGCCACTGGTCAACTCTACCCATTACCACATCTTACCCCACCATTTTTTCCACACACTATCCATCTCCCTCAATTTCTCCACATTCTATACGTCCCCAACTGATCTTTCAATCCCAGGTCCACCTCCCCTTGCATCCTTCTCAATCCCAGGTCCACCTCCCCTTGCACCCTTCTCAATCCCAGGTCCACCTCCCCTTGCATCCTTCTCAATCCCAGGTCCACCTCCCCTTGCACCCTTCTCAATCCCAGGTCCACCTCCCCTTGCATCCTTCTCAATCCCAGGTCCACCTCCCCTTGCACCCTTCTCAATCCCAGGTCCACCTTCCCTTGCACCCTTCTCAATCCCAGGTCCACCTCCCCTTGCACCCTTCTCAATCCCAGGTCCACCTTCCCTTGCACCCTTCTCAATCCCAGGTCCACCTCCCCTTGCACCCTTCTCAATCCCAGGTCCACCTCCCCTTGCACCCTTCTCAATCCCAGGTCCCCTCCCTTGCACCCTTCTCAATCCCAGGTCCACCTCCCCTTGCACCCTTCTCAATCCCAGGTCCACCTTCCCTTGCACCCTTCTCAATCCCAGGTCCACCTTCCCTTGCACCCTTCTCAATCCCAGGTCCACCTTCCCTTGCATCCTTCTCAATCCCAGGTCCACCTCCCCTTGCACCCTTCTCAATCCCAGGTCCACCTCCCCTTGCATCCTTCTCAATCCCCACCTCGTATTCTCCAGTGGTAAAGACTTACCTTAGGTCAGTGAAGGTTTCTACCAGCGGAATGGTGCCCATGGTCCAGTCACAGCAGAGGGCTGAGGGCAGCAGCAATAACCCCGTGTTGACGCTCAGTAAGTAGTTGTACGTCAACTGACGAGTGGGCGTCGGCGCCACGCTCGCCGGGTTGTCGAACCTGTTGACGCCAAGGAGGAATTAGTTGACGCCAGGGAAGGGTGGGAGGGCGTAATTAACTCCAGGGAGAGATTACCTGACGCCCGGAGGCTTAGCTGACGCTATTGAGGGAGGGATTAGCTGACGCCATGGGGGTTAGCTGACAAGACTAGGGTTTAGTTGACGTCAAAGGGCTTACTTGGCGCCAGGGTGGGGGGGCTTAAATACAATTATGGCCTTAGATAATTGACTAGTTGAAATCAAACATGTGAGTAGCTAAGGTCAATTGAAAGCAGTCAATCGACATCAGGTAAGTTTAGTAGTAGCTAGTTATGAGTCGTGATGAGTTGTGAGGTCAGTTAAAGGTCATGAGTGAGTGATCGTGGCAGTTAAGACTATGAGTAAGCGGCCAATTTTATTCAGGCCACATTTAAATATCAATTACTCACCTACTCAACAATAAAGAAGCAGGAGGAATATAAAAAGCAACTTGCTCTCTAAAAGTTTATCCCCCACTGGACGTCGTGAGTAACTTGTTAATATCATGAGTAAAAAGATGAACTCATAAGACATCAGATCATGAGTAAAATCAAATCATGAATAATTAGATAAATATCCTAACTGCGTTACAATTTAGAGGGAATGAGTAAGTGGCCCATTAGTTATGACCATAAGTGGCCCATTAGTTATGACCATGAGTAAGTGGCCCGTCAGTCATAAGGCCACGAGCAGGGGGGGGGGGCATTACCCCCTGCTCAGTGAGGAGGGGGGGGGGGCATTACCCCCTGCTCAGGGGGGGCATTACCCCCTACTCAGGGGGGGCATTACCCCCTGCTCAGTGAGGAGGGGGGGGGGCCCATTACCCCCTGCTCAGGGGGGGGCATTACCCCCTGCTCAGGGGGGGGGGCATTACCCCCTGCTCAGGGGGGGGGCATTACCCCCTGCTCAGGGGGGGGCATTACCCCCTGCTCAGGGGAGGGCATTACCCCCTGCTCAGGGGGGGCATTACCCCCTGCTCAGTGAGGAGGGGCGGGGGGGCATTAGAGAGCTATACTCACCTGGTGAAAACTGGGAGCTGGGCCCCCATAACGTGAACTCTTGCAAGCATGAGGCCCAGAGTGGTGGCCACGAGCACAAACACACGCGGAGCCATGTCTGCCAACCAGGGGGGCACCGACCCCTTCCCGGACACAATGCCCTCTCCAAACTGCAGCAGCTCCCACCCACGCACCTGCGGAAGGCAGAGAACGAGGCGTTAGTGAAGAAACAGCATCATTAGAAGGAAATCCCGTTTATTCCTACCCCTACATGCGTGCGCACCAGGGAACGCACGCAAACGCACGCAAGGCAACGCAGGTACCGTAGCCGCAAGCTAACGAAGGTACCAAGGACGCTAGGCAACGTAGATACCAGGGGACCAGATTCACGAAGCAGTTACGCAAGTACTTACGAACGTGTACATCTTTCCTCAATCTTTGACGGCTTTGGTTACATTTACTAAACAGTTTACAAGCATGAAAACTTGCCAATCAACTGTTGTTATTGCTATAAACAGCCTCTTGGTGCTTCGGAGCTCATTAACTGTTAAATAATTGTAAACAAAGCCGCTAAAGATTGAGAAAACATGTTCAGGTTCGTAAGTGCTGGCGTAACTGCTTTCGTGAATTTGGCCCCCAGGAACCAGCAAGAAAACGCAGCTATCGTACTTCAGCATCACCCCGCCCAGAATCATCAGGCTGCGGGATGATACGCGGGTGATCTTATCTTGAGATTATCTTGAGATGATTTCGGGGCTTTAGTGTCCCCGCGGCCCGGTCCTCGACCAGGCCTCCACCCCCAGGAAGCAGCCCGTGACAGCTGACTAACACCCAGGTACCTATTTTACTGCTAGGTAACAGGGGCATAGGGTGAAAGAAACTCTGCCCATTGTTTCTCGCCGGCGCCTGGGATCGAACCCAGGACCACAGGATCACAAGTCCAGCGTGCTGCCCGATCGGCCGACCGGCTCCCGGATGAATTATACTGCAACAATCCTCCCTCATCATGCACATGCAACGAAATCAAGATAATCCTGTTAACAGTTTTGGTTCACCCTGTAACACCACCATTACCAGCAATGATGCATAGTCGGATAGGGAAAGGGGGGGGAGGGGAATACAGCAGGAATTAACGTGTTGGCGAGAGGGAATGGCTCCCTTTCCCCCTCCCCCCCCTCTCTCAACCCCATCAACCCCCCCCCCTACCACTATAACCATCAACTCCTACCCTCAAATAACCCTCCCCCCCCACCCCCAGCCTCTGAAAAAATTGCATTCTGTTTGAACACATTAAAAAAAAAAAAATGACGCTGCAAAAGGGGAAAAACAGCGCAAACACACGCACACATCTAGCCGAGTACACACCCACACACCACAAACACACACACCACACACCACACACAGGTTGTGGAAGCAAATACTATTCATAATTTTAAAACCAGGTATGATAGGGAAATGGGACAGGAGTCATTGCTGTAAACACCGATGCTCGAAAGGCGGGATCCAAGAGTCAATGCTCGATCCTGCAGACACAACTAGGTGAGTACTAGGTAGTACGTACACACACACACACACACACACACACACACACACACACACACACACACACACACACACACACACACACACACACACACAACCCAGTAGGCTCAGGACTCTGTACACCAGTTGCTTGACAGTTGAGAGGCGGGACCAAAGAGCCAGAGCTCAACCCCCGCAAACACAACTAGGTGAGTACACACCTACTGAAGTTCTATGAAAAAGAAACACAAAAAAATAAGACCAGACAGAGATGGTTGGGCAGATTGTGTATTTCTGGACCCCAAAAAAAGCCTTTGGTCCACTTCTACCCAACACACCACTACATAAACTTGAGAGGCGAGCAGGAGTAAACGGAACACCACCGGCGGAGATAAGAGAGTACCTAACGGACGGAAGACCACCGGCGGAGATAAGAGAGTACCTAACGGACGGAAGACCACCGGCGGAGATAAGAGAGTACCTAACGGACGGGACTAAGAGTCAAAAGTGAGGGGACGAGAAGCCTGGCATTAAGTCACAAGTGGAGTACCTCGCGGATCTGTGCCCGAGACCCATACCTTTGGTCCCTGGCGTGGATACCATACCAAACCTATCTTCGGGGCCACATATATAAACAGGATAACATCAGCAGCATACTCAACACCGGCAAACGTCAAAATATCGTTCAGGAACTTAAATAAAATGACATAAAAATGGCTGTATAGCACCTACGTGAGACCAGTCTTAACGTATGCCATCTCATCCACAAATACCATCTATAAAAAAGTAAGAAAACTAGAAAAAAATGATATAAAACGCGGCTTGCCCAGGAATTGCAAGATATTTAATATGAAGAAAGACTGAAAGAACTAGACCTGACGCCATCAGAGTAAAGGAGAATAAGGAAAAAGGATAAAGACGTATAAGAATCCTTGACGAGGGATTAACAAAGTGTAAAATGAGGACACAAATGGATGCCTAAGAACCTGATGAATCCTAAAGCGATGTTAGAAAGCTTTATTTAGCGTAAAACAGTGGAAAATAGGAATGGACTAAATGAGCACGCTGTATAGGCTTACTCAAGTCATAATTTCAACAGCAGATATGATAGAAGTAAAAAGCAGGAAATCATTGCATTAGACAACCAGAGAACAACCAAAACTTCACAGCTTAGGAAGAAAGAAGAGTTAAAAGAGTCATGATCACCACATACAAGATTATCATAAGAATTCACAGGGGTAGATAAAGACAATTTATTTAACACAGGGAGCACACACACAAGGAGACACAGGTGGAAACTGAGTACCCAGATGAGCCATAGGCATATAATAAAGAACTTTTTCAGTGTCAGTAGTTAACAGATGGAAATACATTAGGCAGTGATGTGGTGGAGGCTGACTCCATACACAGTTCCAAATGTAGATATGATAGAGCCCAGTAGGCTCAGGAATCTGTACACCGGTTGAGTGAAAGTTGAGAGGCGGGACCAAAGAGCTGAAGCTTAATCCCCACAATCACAACTATGAGAGTACACACTAACACTGCATTTTTCTAATCTTTGTTTATATCTACAGCCACTTTTAATTACTTTAATTCGCCAATGAAAATGCCAGCACGGGGGAATTTAAATGCCAGGGCTGGGGGGGGGGGGGAGAGGATGGATTTAAATGCCAGGGCTGGGGGGGAGGGGAATTTAAATGTAGTCATCATTTAAACTGAAGCGACTCCTGCTTTTCTGCCTGTCCTGTTTTTCTGCTTGCTTGCCTGTTGCCTGCTTGCCTGCCTCCATGCCTAACCAGCCTGCCTGCCTGCCTGGCTGGCTGCCTGCCTGCCTGCCTACCTGCCTGCCTGCCTGCCTACCTGCCTGCCTGCCTGCCTGCCTGCTTTCCTGCCTGGCTGACTTCCTGCCTGCTTGTTTTTCTGCCTGCCAGCCTGCCTGCTTTCCTGCCTACCTGTTTTTCTGCCTGCCTGCCTGTTGCCTGCCTGCCTGCCTGCCTGCCTGCCCCCGTTGACGAGTGAAGGGGAGGCTCCCTGAGGGCTGGCGACCAAGGGAGGACAGGGACGCGAGGACGCTGCCGAGGACAACAAGACCTCAGGGCAGGTAAGAAGCACCACACGAGCCTAAATTTTAATTAAAACCTTGACTCGAGGTCTCCTTTGAGGCTGCCTCATAAGCCCCCCTTGACTCATCATGAATGAGATGAGTCTCATTCTGTCTCTGCTCCCTCATTCTCTCCCTCCCTCTCTCTCTTTCCTTACCCTATAATCTTTTCCCCCTCACTCTCCACTCTTAAGTCTCGTCCTCCCTTACTCTCTTCCCATAACTGTCTTTTGCAATATTGCTCTTAACAGTTTAAGAAACCAGAGCCTCATTTGATGTGAAATGAGAAGCATAGATTCAGAACTGTGTTGCAACCCCGGGGGGAGGCCGCGGCTCAACGTCCCCGCGGCCCGGTCCTTCGACCAGGCCTCCCAACCATGAGCTAAATCTTCCTATCACCCTTGTGTCGAGGTGTGTGTGTGTGCGCGCGCGCAACCGGAGGTAAGACCGCGGACGTGCACCTTCTCAGATATGCATAGCCACTGCATGTTGCAAGCACCAATGCAATGCTCACCTGAGCAAAAACTATGAAATCTTAAAAGCAAGACGGTGCCCATATCAGCTGATTGCGACTTACAAGATGCAACTTATCTTAAAAATTACTATTTAACTTTAAGATAAGTTTAAGTAATTTATTATTTTACAACTGTGTCACCTGTAAGAGCCATTTTGTTATTATCTAAATGAAAAAATCTAAAAAGATATCAAATATCAAAATATGTTTTTTTCCATAAAATATCCTTGAAAAATAGGAATACGTCTTAAGTGGAGGTAGGGCTACTTGCCAGGAATTCCAGCTCACCCTCTTAAGGTTTCCCAACGTCAAGAAAACTGTCGATTTAAAGTAGTCTCTCCTAACCTACCAGAGGACCCAAAACAGAAAACGGGATAATACGTCATTTTCGTGAGTCGCTTCCATTATCAAGTACGACACTCTTCTGGCCTTATGTGACGCATACGAGAGTAAAGCGACGTTGTTTGTACGAGGACAGGTTGTAGGAGGGCAGGTTGTAGGAGGGCAGGTTGTAGGAGGGCAGGTTGTAGGAGGGCAGGTTGTAGGAGGACAGGTTGTAGGAGGACAGGTTGTAGGAGGACAGGTTGTAGGACAGTTTGTATAAGGACAGATTGTAGGACAGGTTGTAGGAGGACAGGTTGTAGGACAGTTTGTAGGAGGACAGGTCGTAGGAGGACAGATTGTAGGAGGACAGGTTGTAGGAGGACAGGTTGTAGGACAGTTTGTATAAGGACAGATTGTAGGACAGTTTGTATAAGGACAGGTTGTAGGACAGTTTGTAGGAGGACAGGTCGTAGGAGGACAGATTGTAGGAGGACAGATTGTAGGAGGACAGATTGTAGGAGGACAGGCTGTAGGAGGACAGGCTGTAGGAGGACAGGCTGTAGGAGGACAGGCTGTAGGAGGACAGGTTGTAGGAGGACAGGTTATAGGACAGTTGTAGGACAGGTTGTAGGAGGACAGGTTGTAGGACAGGTTGTAGGAGGACAGGCTGTAGGAGGACAGGCTGTAGGAGGACAGGCTGTAGGAGGACAGGCTGTAGGAGGACAGGCTGTAGG